GGGATCACTGAAAAACACAGTCTCGAACAAAGTATTTCCCAGAGTTATTCACTCACAATGCAGGAACAGCTCCGATTTGGGTTATTGACGTTTCCGACTCGAATCTATTAATCAATAAAATAAAATCGCTAAGGACAGGCCGATTGTCATTCACATCAGAAACGTGGACTCGCAGAACTACGGTAGAGCTTAGTTGACCACTGGAAAGGTGTCGTACAGAAAAGGGAGTCCAAAGCACGTCAAAGCTTACCTTGTGGCTTGTACTTCCAAATAAAATTTGTTATTCTTCGCTTCGTAGTCAAACTCAACGCGAGTAAGGATTCGAACGACACCGGGTTGGTTTTCGTCAACTTCCAGGTCGAAAAGTTTCGCATCAGCACCGCCAAATATTCGGAATTGGATCTTCGCATTGTCACCCTCGTCAGGATCCGTAGCCATTATAGTGCCTTAAAATCTGATATAATAAATGAAAAGAAGAAATGTTGAAACTCTTCTATATGTCCTTATACCTTCCAGCAATAACAATTTCTGCCTTGGAGAGCACAAAACAACGATGAAAAAGCTTGGATAAAAACTATGATTAACAATCTCACCTACTGTACTTCCAGCTGGAGAGTTTTCGGCTATGTACAGATCATACGAGGATTGGTCAAACTTTGGCGCATTATCATTAACATCGGTCAGAGAGATGGTGATCAGAGCGGAGGAGGTGAGCGGAGGTTTACCCCTGTCTCTCGCGAATACGTTGAGCTCAATGCTGAAAATTGGCGGAGAAATTTCCAAGATAGTATAGATTGGAAAGGAAAGTAAGAATCTCTAAAAACTAAGGCTCTTGATATCGAATGTGACTCAAAACTATACAAAATCTAAAGACAATAATACTTTTAGATTTTGGACAAAACTTGCATAAAAGGAAATAGAAGGTAAGCTGCAGTCATAAGGCTAAGGAATACTTGTTAACAGAATTCCTAAACTTACATGGGATGTTGCTCACGGTCCAATTTCGAGTTGACTCTGAGAGTACCTGATGTTCTGTCCAAACGAAAAAGATCATAAACCGGTGATGAATCCGAGTTGTTCAAGAAGTAATCCACAATTCCATTATTTCCTACATCCAAATCAATTGCGGAGACCTCAACATAGCCAGCTTACAAATGAGTAACAGAAAAAAACATTGTTTATCCTCTTCTTCATGGATCGTTGAATAATTTCAGATGACGAAAGAAAGATTACCTGCATAAAAGAGGTGCCAACTGGAATATCTTCTGGGATGGAAGCTGTGTAGTTCTGGGTAGAGAATTTGGGTGGGTTGTCGTTTACTAAAAAAAGGATTGTTTGCTGTATGGTATCAAAAGACCAGGTTAAATGTAATTGGAAAACTTCAATAAAGTCAAAGGAATTTCAAAGAGATAGTGACGAGTAGTTGAATATCTGACTAAACGATAGATGCTAAAGGAAATCTTGACGTATATTATTTCGGTAATTTCACAAATTTGAATTTCTTCCCAATCCACTCTCCACCTCCTTTTCCGCCCCCCTATTTGCTTATACCACTCCCGTAACCATGTTCTTCCTTGAATTATGCAAATCATAACGATGCTAATGAACGCAGCAGTAAGTATTTGTACCCTTACAAGCACCCCAGTGAGAGAGCTGTCGTCAGCAACCTAAGAGATGAGGACGCTAGGGATAAAGACGAGAAAAGAACACGCAAGACAAAGAGGGGAGAGGCATAAGCGTCGCCGCAATTTTCGACAGCTGTTCAAGCGATGATTATTTACGGAAATTAGCACGGCAAATCCGTCTTATCTGGGCTGCGGCCGCAGCGATCGGCGACTGTGCTCAAGTGAAGAACGAGAAATTGAATTATTGACATTGCAAGATGAAGTTAGTTCCGGTACTTGATTATAATTTTCGTGTTAAATAATCTTAAAATTTGTAACTAAACACTTATAGGAAAACGAAGCTGAAAAAGCCAAACTGACCATCGTCAACAATTATTTCCAATTGAGTAGTGGTATTCAACGGTGGCACAGCTCCATCGCTTACTGTAACGGCAACCAAATAACTTGACTGCTTCTCTCGATCCAAGCTCTTCCTCAGGGTGATTAATCCCGTTGCATTGTCAATATTGAATTCTTCAGAGTCAATGGAATAGGTCAATTGGGCATTGGTGCCTTGGTCAGTATCCTCAGCCTGAACTTTGCAACTAGCTCCTTTTAC